ATAAATTTACCTTTTTGTGAATGCTGTAGGAGTTTGCAGTCTTTCTGTTGCGCTGACTGAGTTCCTGGTACTGATCCTCACCAGTGAAAAACACAATGTTCTTCTCAAAGATGTAGCCCCTCTCTGGGGCGTCCCCAAAATACTGCACGTGGTATAGAAGGCCCGGTCTACTTCCGGGGGCTAAAAACAAAACAAAAACAAACATTATTTATTTACATACCTTTTTCCCAAAGTCCCAATATTTAAGACTTTCTTAGGTCAATTTAATAAATTTAATTTCAAATAAGACTAATGTAATGTAATACCTTTGGGTTTGGGTTTGAAGTGAGAGCTGAATTCTGGGTCTGTGGTCACCATACATGGCCACCAGGGGTATCCTGAGACTTTGGTCCAGACCAAATCACCCACAGAGAAACAGACCAGGGCAGAAGACTTGCTTGCAGATTTCACTGTCAACTCTTGACAAAGATCAAGCTGTAGAAGATACAAGAACAAACTAATTTCCACGCATTTTCCGACATCTGTACATGTCGCAACTTACCACCACTTGTTTGAACATCTGGTTATAATCTGATGTTTGGACTTTATTCACAGACAGTTTAATTTAGGGATTATGCTAATTCAGTTCTTTATTTGGGAAAATGTCAGCTGTGTTTAGTTTGATTTTTTTTTTTAATTTTCTCTCATCTCATGGTTAAGGTCACATTGGAATATCCTTCACTACATCCTGTTTCTGAGAAATATTTTCTCAAAATGTGTTTAATACCTTTTTTGAGATATTTGTATTATATTGTACATTATATTTGTATTTATTTTACATTAAAACATCTTGCTTTTATAGCACAATCTGGCCTCAGTCCCTTTGTTGCTGTAACACAACAATGATCCTCGTGTGGGATCAATAAAATCAACCTAATCTCATCAAAATTATTTTTTTATTTCTGGCATAGTCAGATATATTTTAGTTTGTGATGATTTTATCCTTTTTAATTTGTATTTATTTATCTATTCATCTTTTTTTTAAATTAGTAATTTCGTCCATTTCAGAAACTTAATGGCAATTCTGGGCTTTTACTTACCTTATGACTAATATTTTCAAACATTCTGTAGCTACACTGGATATGACTGCAGTAATTTGGTTTTGGTTAATATTATTTTTCAATCTCTTTTGAGCAATTAAATATTTAAATATTAAATATTTTTCTGAGTTCTCTATATTGTTTTTGGGCTCACAATGTAACCTTCACCTCCTTTTATGTTAAAATAAATCTTAGCTTTTCATGTTGTCCCCTTCATAATTTCTTGTTAAATCTTAGCTTTTCATGTTGTCCCCTCCATAATTTCTTGAGGGATTAATAAAGTTCTTTCTTTCTTAGATCTACTGTATCTATCCATCTATCTTAACCTCAGTTTTGGTCTGACTTAAAATGATAAAAATAACAGCAAACCTCGTCAGCTGTGTTGTTTTCCTTCACAGCGTCTGTGTGGTCAGAGTGCTCCATTTTCTCCAGAGTTTCCACAGACTGATTGAGGTTTGGTTGAGATTTGAGTTTGAGTTGTAGTCCCCTCCATTGATCCTCATCCTGTCTTGTGTCAGGTCCAGATACAGTAACTTCAGTGGCAGTTGACAAATTGGTTTCATTTGCACAGCATGGTTCAAATTGTGGCTGCTGGACCACCTGTGGTACAGTCACCTTTAGCTCAGGTTCAAGATGAGGAGTGCAGTTGTGATGATGTGTTCCATTTGTGGCAGGGGCTTCAGCACCTTTGGGTGTAGGTGGTTCTAGAGCACAGAGCTCTGGCAGCTGGTCTTGGTCACCGTTTAGTACCCTGGAAGTGAGGTCTTTGAGTGTTTCATGGTTTTGGTTGTTGTGACTGTGGCCCGCCATCTTCTGTAGGACACCGTCTTGTAGTGTGGCGGCCAATTGCGCAGCAGCTTTGTCCATCAGCAGAGCAGGGTCACTACTGATGTCCCCTCTGACTTTTCGGACACCAATAGACTCCGGTGGCTGCTTCATGCTGATTGGGTTGGCTGGTTTAGGCATTGAAGGTAGAGAGCTACCTATAGTATCCATTGCACTCCTCCCCCCGCCAGGTTCACTGAGCTGCAGTGGACACAAAGTCAAGTCATTTTACTGATTGAGCTACAACTTATAATAAATTACATACATGAGATTCAAGTCTTTAAGAGAGCAGAGGAAGCATGACCTACAGAAATCATCGTAATGTGGGGATTCATGTTCCTTTGATCCATCTACAGATCAATTACAGTGAAAAAGACAAATAAAAAACGACCATATGTTACAGCAAATATGTTACGGCATGTCATAAATAGAAACCACGGAATGAATTAATGACTTGATGAACAATTGTCTAAAACTACATTATTAAAAGTCACCGGTCCTGGTATTTATGATAAAACTGTCATAAATCAAGAACTTTTGAGTCATCCATTATTATTATGGCCATAAACAATAAATTGTGCACTCTGACTACTCCACATTAAACCGGTCTAATTGTGGCATATGACATCATCAACGGTTTGCAAGTCTCTTCCTTGTAAAAATGTTATTGTATTATATGAATCCTCGGTGATCGTGTTACTAAATGGCTCCATATAGACACTGGAGGGATAAGAGGAAGCTGCACCTGTCATATAATGTTTGCCCGTTTTGATGAATAGCTCCATACAACTAGAAGAAAGCATTGGAATCCAGACCTGTTCCAAAGAAAGAACTCGGCCTAAAACCAACCAAAGCCAAAATTAATCAGTGCACATAAAAAGTCGATGTGAAGGTCGGAAAAAGCTTCTTACCGCAACTATTTTAAGTTGTTTTATCCTGTGTGGAGATTGTTAGCTTTTAGCTGCAGCTAGCTGCAAAAGACGGGAGAAGGCAGGCTGTGGACTGAGCTCATACACCGAGCCTGACTCTTCTTCCTTTTCCACTACAGCATGCAGTGAATGTCCAATGAGTGAGAGGCTGAACAGAGCCGCGTAACCACCGCATCAGCGTTGACGAAAACCGCGGAAACTAATGCAGTTGAGCCCACAATACTGGAGTCGAAATACAGGCATAATGCATTTGTAAATACCGTGTTAAGTTCAGTCACATTAGCAGCAGCGCTGTCCCTACTAGTCCACGCTTTGGATTGCCTGTTCGGACATTTTATGTTAATGTCAGTGGACTAACGCAAAGCCGTGATTTCTCGTAAAACGTATCAAAAAGTCCATCCAATATATATTATTTTAACCCTGGCTTTTTGTGCACACTTCGTTTGACCGTCTGAAATTCCCGGTTGTCTTACCTGCACTCTTGACTCCCACTTAGCACTTGAATACAACAAGGATGAACCCGAGCTGTATTTAAGTGTAGTATTAATGAATGGGACGCGACACTACTGTCAAGAACAAAATGGGTATCGACTATATCCTGGAAATTAAGCCAACACGATGCAGGATAGAAAAGGGTTTTCCCGTCATGTTCCCGTGCCGCACACTGTTGACTGAATATGTCCAACAGTCAGCCATTACACTACGTCCCAGCAAATAGACGGTGCCGCCAACTTAACACTAAATTTAATAAACTTAACATTTGAGCGAGTTCATCTGTGAAATTACCACAAACTCACCTATCAAAAGCCGGATGTGGTGTCAGCCGGATATGTTAGATAATGAGATTTTTTTTTCAAATATTTCTATACTGTTTTATTCGTAGGCGCCATGACAGCTCGTCAGAACAAGGAAAGGCTAACACTGTATTAGCATGGGCTAACCAGAATACCATCCAAAACCAATACAAGTCACACAGTTAACACTAGCATTGCTAACATGCTAACAGCTTCTCTGCTGTTGAGATGGTCTTCGGCTTGCACAAGTGTGTTCACAGATAAAATAGAGTTGACATCAGCGTAAAGACAAATAACCAGTGCTCACGTTTAAATACCTGTTAAATCCTGTATCGATGTTTAAAGAGAGAAAATGTCCGTATTCATGCCGTAAACGCAGCGCTTCATTCAGAGCCCCTAAAGCTTGCGGGAAACTCAAACTGTGCGTCTGACCAGCGCGAAAAATACTCAACACCGATTGGTCGAATTCTCAGAGGGAGATCCAGCCGGTCCGTTCAAAAGAGGAACCGTAGTGTGTTCTGTATCTGATGTGAGTCACCCACATCCGATTCGGACCGAATCAAACTATATTACTGTACACTACACGAAAAAAAGTGGAACAAACACATCGAATTACAAACTGAATAACGGCACAGAATTAGTTAAACCTCGCCCCAGGAAAGGAGGTAAAGGAGTAGAACCAAGAACCACCAGATCTTTAAAAAATAAGGAGGTAAAGGAGTAGAACCAAGAACTAAATTCCACCAGATCTTTAAAAAAATAAGTCAACTGATCAAAGCGTATCTCGAGCTAAACATAACTATTTAGACAACCCATCTGAACACAGACGACCATACGTTTAAAATGTATTTTTAAAGGTAAAGTGGGATGTATAAATCGACGAAAAGAGTAACTACCTTACCAACCTGAATTTCTATATAAACATTTATGATCACAATACAAAATGATAAAATAATACTTCAATTACCAACCTATCTGGTTATTTTATATTCGTAAATGTAAATTATGCCTTTAATAAATATATTGAGGAAATAGTTCAAATTTATTTTCTAAAGAAATGTACATTTCTGTAATTTTTATTAAATTTTATCTTACACATTTAATGGGACTTTAAGAGAAATGAGTTAGATTAAAGCTAAAGACGCACTATTTTGTGAATTTGTGTTGCAGGTTAATTTCATTGTATGTAGTTTCTTCTATTTTTTTCTTTCGGCTTTGTCCCTTTTTTTCAGCGGTTGTATGTATGTATGTATGTAGTTTCTATATTTTTTTAATTTTATTTCAGTTCCCGGAAGTCTTTCTTTATGACACATTAAAGCTAGCTTAACGAACATGCCGACGCCATTGTCAGCGGTTCGAGTGAGAGAGAGAGAGAGAGAGAGAGACCTAGACTAACAGAGAGAAACAGAGTAGGGGAGAGAGCCTACCCGGGTTAGCTGTCATCTAGCGAAACAGGGAAGGGCACGGTGGGACATGGAGACGAATCCTACCCTATTCTGTTATAAATTTGTCGTATCCTGTTAATATTTCTTTATTTACATTAACCTCAGTTCAGTTTAAATTTCTGGGCTATTTTTATTTTATTTTACATACTTTAGACAAACGGTGGCTAAGCTAACCGGTCGGCTCGGCTGTGTGCGAAGTGTAAACGCGTTACACTGAATAAAAACTCCTCATGGCTTCAATCCTCTTCTCCAGGTCCAGAACACCTTTCACCAAAACATCCCACTCTCTAAAGAACCAGTTCAGAAAAGGTAAATATGCTTTTAGTTAATTTTGTTCGCTAGGCTAAAACAGTTTTTCACTTTAGCATCTGTAGCGGTTCGTTTTTTCTACATCGGCAGGTGGATAATTTTTGTTGTACTTCTAGAAAGATGCCGACATTGTACCGGCTTTAACTGTGGATAACGCTGTTGTAACAACCCAGTCATTAATTTATGATGTAAATCGTCAGCCACCTGCTGTCAATGTTGGCGTATGACATGTTATACGTAGTTATGTCCTAAAATGACTCAGCATTTGAAGCCATCGCCACTGTGTTGATTCCTGAAGAAACAGCAGTAACAGCATCGGTACTGACCTTATGTCGGAGGCAGGTTATCTGAGGACAAACAGGGTTTTGTTTTAAAGCAGGGGGCGCTGCATGTTCTCCTCACACTGCAGCATGTCTGTTTCCGTGGGAAACTGCCTTTTTGGCCTGTTTGTTTAGCATCTTCAAATTTTGTTTCGACGAAAACCCATCTGTGCACCGATAAGACACAGCATGTTTAAATACCTAGTTTTCCTACCACAGTTGATTTCCCTCTTTTCCATTGACGGGTTAAAGCATTTCTTATTATGCTGACATAATGCTGGAGGAGGCGTATGTGTCCATTCAGTGCTGCCTGCAGTGCTTATATTTATAATTGTATATAAGTCTTTCTGGTCAGGTCAGGTTTTTATTCACCAAATCTGTGTATTTCAGTGGCCTAAGGTTCATAGATTAGTGGCAATCAGCACATTTCTGTTGATGTGTCATTTTACTGTTATTAATATTATTATTCACAGTCACAACCCAGTTATAGAGAGAGGTACAGAAAAGCATACGTGTTTGTAACACAATTGGTTCATTTAAACAGTAAGAAAAAGATAACAGGATCACAAGTAGGATTTATCTCTTTGTGGAAGACGTGATTTAGGGATCAGATAGTACACAGAGATTACACGTGGAAAGGTCAGTACTTCTTTTAACGTCATTACGATCAGATAGTAGATATTGGTAAAATGTATTTCTGCATTAGGTGTTTGTATCTGCGTGATGACATTATGCTACTGTGGTGCAAACTTCATTATTTATAGTTTAAACAATCACAGTCATGGAATATCTCCCTGAACACTTGAAAATAAAGCTAATTATAATCACAGCTTTTAATGTTCAAGGTAATCTTTGACTGGGTTTGTTCACAGTCTTGAGATGACTGCTGAACATTGACCACAGCCTTTGTCAGTAAAAGGTCAGGACCAATTAGAGCCTTATCTTACCCTGTAGATAAGTATATGGAGCACAGTAACTGCTAAGACAGTGAATTTGCATGTGTTTTGTGTTATCTGCAGATAAAGTGTTATATTTAAAGAAAGCTGTAAAGAGCGATTATTAAGTCTCCTTTGTTCACACTGCTCACACTTATTATATACTAAAGTGTTCACCTTTAATAAAACAAAGCTTATTTCCCATTAACTTACAGAATATATTTTGGCATCCTTACATCTACAGACCTGAAGTCTGGCTTTTGTTTACTTTTTTTCAGTTTTTTTTTAATTAAGATCTTCATACAGTGCAGCTGATAGGCATAATTCCACAAACAAGATACATTTGTGAATTCTGTCTCATGCTCATATTTTTTAGTTAATGTCATTTATGATTTTTGAAAGTCCAAAAGTGTTATTAGGGGCAACTATTCTAACGTAAATGTAAACTATTCTAATGTAAACAGTAGTGTACAGGCTATGGCCCTGAATTACCTGCACACGGGCCAGTTTTTTCTTCTCTGTGTGAAGTAGCTCAGATTTGACACTTCACAGGAAATGACCGGAGGCCGTGGTCTGGGGTTTGACTAATAAAGGAAGTGTCATAAAACTGCCATTTTTAACTCTTTATAGCCTGGCAAACTCCTGCAAGGTGCTGGCCATGCAGAGCATGAACTTCCCATAACCCCCAGCACCAGACCAAGGTCTTTTAGGGTCAAAACCAAATGATTCCCTCTTTACCAGTGTAAAGTGACCCCAGTACTACAAAAATGTCTGTTTTGATTTTTTTTTTCCGGGAGGGAATGTTAGGCATGTACAGCATAAGGTATTGAAACTGGCAACTGGTTGGTTTTACACTGGATATTATGAGCCTGAATCAGAAATATACAGTTTTATGTAAAGTGTAAATTTAGCACTAGCAACAACTAGCAAAACCCAAATATACATAATAATGTGTATATATATATATATAAATATATACAATTATTTATATATATATATACACACAAACAAACATACACAAATATCGTCTTGTTAAATGACTATGAAATATTGAAATAATTGTCAAATTCTGCACCATTTCTTAAAAATCCATGGCAACATTGAACAGATTTTGATAAAATAATTATATCTGTGCAAAGACCAAACCTCCTACAGAGGACACACTGTTGTAGTGTTGGACTGTTTGTACAGTTCAGGTCAGTTATAAAGAAGTCAAAGTTCAAGTTATCTATTGTATTTCCAGTGATTTCGCTTTGTCCTCCTGTGGGTTGGCCTCTAAGGTCACAAAGGTGACTTTGTTCCAGTGAACTCTGCTTCATCCTCTCCTGTCACATTTCTCTGGGCCCTGTTGGATTCAGTCCAGCCAGTCATGTGATGAGCAGGGAGAGGGTGGAGCTAGTAACCATATGCTGTGTGATTATTGGTCCAGTTAATCTGACCACTCCACCCTCTCTCTCTCTCTCTCTCTCTCTCTCTCTCTCCCTCCCTCTCTCTGCACGTGAGCAGGATTAGATAGTGGCCCCTGTTGTGTGCCTCAAGAGACTTAGAATATTGTTATGACATAGAAGACAAAATACATGAAGACACTGTGTTGGTATTTTGTTTTTACAGAAGCAGACAGTATATTAATGACTTTGAGAAATCATTGCAAAGAGGAAATAGCAAATGTTCACACAAGACCTAAAATGAATCCTGTGAGTTAGTGGTTAAATTAAATTGTTAGCTTCAGTCCTTGTGTGTGGAATTTGTTTGTTCCTTGAATTAACCTGGTGAAATTTTCTGTCTTTTAGGTGAACTGCAGAACGGTGCCTGTTTCAGCTGCACAGCACTCAGACACTCCAGCCACGAGTAGGTGGAACTAGTGGACACCAGCACTGTCTTCAGAAAAAATAAATGATAGAAAAACATTTTACATTAAAAAGTAAAAAGTTAGCATTTAGGTAAAAACCTGAAAACACAGAACAAAATGGAAACATTCAGCTCACTGAGTTTCTTCTAGTACTAGTTCCTGGGGTAAAAATAACAATCCAAACCACCATCACATACCTACCTTGCCTCCTAACAGCAGCCCACACACCCACCTTGAGAATCCATGCTTTAATCTTTGCATTCTGAACGTCCTCTTACCGCGTTTTCACCTCGGACTCTTTGTCTCCTGTCCTCCCATCCAGACCAGTCCGACCAGTGTCAGAAGAACACATCAGTCTCAACCATAGGTGTGGGGTCTCACAGCGTCTGTACTGCTCCCTCCTGCTGAGGCCTCCACCTTCACTGTACCCTGCCATCACAACATGGACTCGTTGGACAATTGCACAACCACAGGATATTGCAGGTGTCAGGTGGATACACACATCAAGGACCAGGTGGGATGATTCCAAGGTGGAGAAGTCCCTGCGGTCATTAAAAGACAAGAAGAAGCTGGAGGAAGGAGGACCGGTCTACAGTCCAACTCTGGATGTGGAACCTGTGAAAAGGACTCTGGGACAAAAGGTTGTGGATGAAATCAAACATTACTACCATGGTTTCAGGCTGCTCTGGTTGGACACCACCATCGCAGGGCGGATGTTGTGGAGGGTACTGCACGGAAACGTGCTCTCCCGAAGAGAGCGGAGACAGGTGAGGACTGCGGGGACTACAAGGGACATATTTGTGAATATGTGGTTCTGTAGAAATCAAGTCTGTTTACATTGAGATACACTTACAGGGGGTCCTTGGTTTAGAACATCCTTGACCTATGACGTTACCTGTGGCCCACTGTTCACTTTGGTGATGGGTTAAAAGCAGTGGTCACATTTGGTTGTGTGCAGTGGTGAGCTGTGTCACAGTGACAAGTAGGAAAAGAAGGAAGGAAAGTGACACAGTTCACCACTGCACACAACCAACTGTGCCCTCTGTTTTTAACCCATCACCAAAGTGAACAGTGGCAGCTTTAAGAACCAGGGAGCAGTGAGTGGAGACGGAGCCATGACAGAGCACCTCAGTGGTACCTTGGCAGTAGGTGGACTCGAACCTGAAGCTTTCCTTAACCACTAAGCCACCACTGCCCCAAGTAGTTCACTTTCCTTAGAAAAAACGAAAGCTTTGTTTACATTTGCCAGTTGTACTCCATAGAGAAAACTCCAGAGAGTTTTGTCTTGCAGCGAAAATAGAGTTACGTTGCATCGTAGAAACAGAACTCCAATGTAAGTCAAGGACCCTCTGCAGTCAGAAGTGTCTTGGGGTCATGTATGTTGAGTTCCTTTCTTTGGTTAGTGGTAATAGAGGAAGTTGGTGAGCTGTTTATATCAGAGCTACTACTCAGTATGAATGAGGCAACACAGAGTGAGTGGAGATTTAACAGCCGCCAGTCTGTGAAGCTCGAACCTATAATTGATCCCATTAGTGTTGAGCAGCCGTGGATGAAGTTACTGAGTAAAAGAAGAAGATGTCTGTGTTCTCAGACTATGATCCCTGCTCAGTCACAGCCCTGATCCTTGAACCAGATCTGGTTTAACCATCTGAGTCATATTGAAAACACTGTCAGCTGCTGGTGAAGGTGGTGCTCTCTTATTATCCTGTCTCAGCTCAAATGTACGGTTCCATATATGGTCAAAGTTTACCAGAAATATTAAATTTCTTCCTAAAGTCTCCGCCTTTTCACTACTGTTACTGGGAGTGGACAAACTTTCCATTGCAATGTGGATTATGTTAACAAAGGAAGCAGATTCTTTTTCCAAAGGTTTTAAACCAAATGTAAACAGATTCAGTGACTCAGAATGAATCACTGATTTGAGTAGGAGAAACAATTATATTTGGTGTTTTTCTTTTCCTCGTGTTAACTACCAGACAATGAGCTAATTTTGGGCTAACTTTTATTTACTTTATGTTGCGTTTGCATTCACTTAAAACAGCCTGGATATTCACACTGTCAGTGATGTTAGACCTTAGAAACTGTCAGAGCTGCTGCTGCTGATGGTAATAGTGATAAACCAACACCCTCCATCCAACCCATCTGCACCTTTTCTAATGCATCTGACTCCCCGGGAGCACATGTCCCAAACCCATCTACACTCCATTATTCTAAGCAGGCATGACTGTGCCTCCTTAATCCCCTCCTTTCATATTCACTTACAAAAATGTGGCCTCCGTTTAAGGCTCCTTCTATTTTAATCTGTGCCCCCCCCCGCTTTTCTTTTGATGTGGTTCTCTGGGAGATCATATACATGTCAATAGAGCTGTGGACAAAGGCCCTTTCACTCACACTGGCCTAAACCCTTCACCCTACTGGTCCTCTGACAAACAGGTGGACAGGCCTGAGAAAAGGGGACTCCTGTTTTTGCCCGTTTCTCCAAACGGCTGCCTGGGATTGTCCATCCTGGAAGGTCGGTAAGCCACAGTCAGACAGTGGTGTCTGTGCCCCCTGTCCTTCATATCAGTCTCTTCCTGCTACAGGTTCGGTCCAGAGAGCCTAGTGTCTCCATTAGTCCCACAGTGAGGACATTTGAATTGTCCACGACATCATTAAAAAAAAGAATGACTACTGAAGATAGACCTTAGGGTTGATGAGCACGTTTGAAGTTGACCTTTGGTCTGTTTGTGTAGTGTGTTGTGAATGGTTTTGTTGCTGTATGGATGAGTTTGCTTCAACAAACCTTTTCCCAAACGTTTCCCCTCTCCTGAGGTTGTTGTCAATCAGGAATATATATTAGAACCTGTGAGAATTTCAACACCGCTTTCCTCCACTTGCTCCTCAGTTTCTCAGAACTTGTGCAGATGTCTTCAGACTCGTTCCCTTCCTGGTCTTCATCATCGTTCCCTTCATGGAGTTCCTGCTGCCTGTTGTCCTCAAACTCTTCCCCAATATGCTGCCGTCCACATTTGAGACCCAGTCCAAGAAGGTAATGAAGCTGCAATATGTTGCACAAATGTTTTTAAATAAACCACAACAATGATTAATTTCCCCATTTATGGGGATTTACAAAACATCTCAGCCTATTATCTCAAATAAATCCACTTTCATTTGAGTTGTCATCCTTCACGTGAACTTTACCCTGAAGTCCTGGTGAAGAGATTACAGTACCAGCCCGGCCAGTTGTAATCCTAATTGCAGTCTAATCTCAAGGACAAAATCAGTCATTGGCTGTTGTTTCGCACTGTTTACATTTGACCGTGACCTAAGCTAAAGAATATACTAGAGTTTCTACGGTTTCATTGTCTCATATACACAGATGCATGTACAAAATGCCGTTCATTATAATATGAAATGTGTTAAATATACAGTACTTGTGGTAATTGTTGTTATTATTTTAGAAAATATAAACATACAAATGTTTGGATGAGGTGGAAAACCGGTGCTGTCCATGTGGATTAATTATCTGTTAATAAGAAAACTAGAACTGTACTGATTAGTAGTAGTGGTAATCAAAGACTATATTTGGCAACAATTCATATTTTTTTAATAATAGTGTTTCAAGATCCATCTTACAGACATCAAATATATTTCAGTCTTCATCACATATTGTTGTTAATTGGTAATGTGACGTAATTTACAGGAGGAGAGACTGAAAAAGGAGCTGAGGGTCAAACTGGAAATGGCAAAGTTCTTACAGGACACCATAGAGGAGATCGCGCTGCGAAACAAAGCTTCGCAGGGCAACGAGACTGAAGAGTTCTCTACCTTCTTCCAAATGGTGAGTGACAACGTCTGCTCGTACCAAGAGAAAACTAATAAAAACAACTAAATGCTGCCATCTCCTGGTATCAATAGTGAAATGTCTGTTTTGGGGTGGATTGGTTTTGATACTACGACTGAACTGGCGTTGAAGGAACAATAACTGTAATAGATCATTAATGCACATTTTTAATATATGTAAATGATAAACTATCTGTTTCAGATAAAACAATTTTAGCTTTTACATGTTTCTAAATTCCTAGCTCATATATCAACATTCAATTCCAGTACATCTGAATTTATATCCAATTCATGTCTGTGTAGGTCATCCAGGTCATTCAGTTGACAACTGGGCGGAGTATGTTTTTTGAAATCTTGAAATTTATCTAAAATCAACAGCTTAATGAAGCTAAATTTAAAATGTTTACACAACATGACAAGATTGTTAGAACAAACCAAAATATCTCAAAGAATTTAGAGCAAAATGTAAAACAAATTATTGTAAATTTGTAATTTTCACAAATTTTTGGTTAGGGTTAGGGTTTTACAATTCTGTGCATGTGGACGCTTTCATAAATGTGTAAACATTTATGCTTTCCAACCTGAATTTAAGTATGAAAAGTAGATTTTGTGTGGTCTTACCTGAACTGTCGTCATAATATCATGTGTTTGTAAAGAACTGTGATGCATGAAGAACTAGAAGATAATCACATCAAAGTTCTGGTTATTTCTGAAGGTTCAGGCCTGGTAACTGCTTAAAAGTTTAGATAAAGACAGAAACAGATGACAACAACAACAAAATTAAAGTCCTTCTGCTCAAATTAAAAAAAAAAATTCACGGTTGATGTGAAATAACCATACCTTTCTATTATGACAGATCAGAGACTCTGGGGAACGTCCCAGTAACGAGCAGATCATCAAATTCTCCAAACTGTTTGAGGATGAGCTGACTCTGGATAACCTGACTCGGCCTCAGCTGGTGGCTCTCTGTCGCCTCCTGGAGCTCCAGTCCATCGGTACAAACAACTTCCTGCGTTTCCAGCTCATCATGAAGCTGAGAACGATCCGAGCTGACGACAAGGTAAAAACTTTTACTGTTGATCCAAGTACGGTACTTTTAAAAAGTTCCTCTCTGTAATTTGGATACAATTGAACATCTGTCTACCCAGCTGATTGCAGAAGAGGGAGTGGAGAGTCTGAACGTGAACGAGGTGCAGACTGCCTGTCGTGTCAGAGGGATGAGGTCACTGGGGGTCACAGAGGAACGACTGAGAGAGCAGCTCAGCCAGGTAAACACTCACAAGCTGCAGAGGAGGAGGAGGAGGGGTTAACATGGATGAAGAGCAGCATCTGTAAATGAGCTATTTGCCTATTGTTACTGAAATGAGTGTGAAATGTAGCAAACAAACAACACCCCTCATGTTAGATAAATGATTTTGTAGAAGTGTAGTTTTGTGTGTCAGTGTAATTATGCAAGACGTTTCAAGCCATTCCCTGTGTTCTGTGTGATGTCAGTGGTTGGAGCTGCATCTGAACCAGCAGATCCCCACCTCTCTGCTGCTACTGTCACGAGCCATGTACCTGCCTGATACTCTGTCTCCAGCCGACCAGTTGAAGACAACCCTGCAGACGCTGCCTGAGATGGTGGTACGTAAACATATGAATGGAATCTTTCATTATAACATGAACGCCAGCCTCAGCTAAGGTTTACAAAACAGGGGTTTGTATTGATATTATTTTAATTTTGATTATGATTAACGGTCTGAGGCTGTGGTGGTCACTAATTTCTTCTCTCCAGACAAAGGAGGCCCAGCTGAAGGTGGCAGAGATAGAGCTCTCCAAAGTGGACAACAAGACCAAAGTGGAGACGACGCTCCAGGAAGAGGCTGCCATACAGCAGGACAACAAGGAACGAGAGATGGAGAAGTTGGCCGATGCTGCTGAGAAGTTTGCCAAGGTGACAAGCAAATTGAATGAAGCCGCGGGAAAAAAAAAAACCTCAGTGACGTTTGTTCTCTGTTGTCGTAGAGCCGTTATTCACTCTGTTGTTCTGGTGTGTGTGTGTGTGTGTGTGTGTGTGTGTGTGTGTGTTGCTGCAGGAGCTGGAGCTGGAGCTGGAAACAGAGAGGATGAAGCAGAGTGAGGCACAGGCTGATGTTGAAACACTGAAGGACACAGCTCCAGTCATAGAGGCTGTCAAGGTAACAACAGCTACACATGTGGAGTCTGTAACATCATCAGAAAAGGAATCAAAAACTTTTCAGCAGCTAATAATATTTACACCTCTGCAGTATCTGAAGGGAACTCCAGAGTGTGAAATAACAATTAATCTCCATTACTAAAATCCTTTGATAAAATAGTAATTTGACAAGGAAATATTAGCCGACGTGCTGCACCCTAGTAGATATTTATTAATGAAATATTTTCAAACATCAAAGTCCACCCTAGTAGATATTTATTAATGAAATTAACAATTTGAACACCAGAGATCTTTTGTAAAAACAAAAATGTTATTTGTTAAGTCATAGCCTTTGTGATTCTGTGACATGAGTGCCACCTAGCTGCCTCATTGTTTACTGCAGGAGGCTAAACATCCGAGCCATTTGCAGGAGGATTGATTGCCACAGGGTTTTTGTTTTATCACTTGTTTGTCTTCTATACTGCACAGTTCCAACAGTGGCAGACATTCCTGTGCTTCCAGGTCAGCTTTTTAATCCAAACTCTCCCTTTATGACACTCACCCACAGTTGTTTTTCTCCCCACAAAAACACAAGTCTATTTTTCTCTCCTTTTGTCCTTCTCTGAGAAAACAGATGTGGGTTAAACAGTGTGGGCGCCTGACTTTTAAGTCTACTTCCATTTGACACATTAGGGCTATTAAGACTCAGATTAATAAAAATCAGTGGTTAGATTTTACATTAGATTAAATCTATACTATCCACCGAGAATCTGCCCACCAGACAGTAAAGTAAACAACAGATTAAGATAAAAGTACAACTCAGATTAAATTGAGAGAAAAAAAACAGTATGTTGTACATTAAAGATATGAGTCACAGTGACATCCGGCTGCAGATACGACCACAAACAGAATAAAGAGCAGACAAATTAGAGAACAGAAAACCGACCAATCACAGAGGTGGTTTAACAGCTGGAGTTAAATTTTTGTAGCGTATCTTAAACACGTAGACCTCAAAGACAGGAGAGGCTCCTAACACCTGTGACTTCTTTTACCCAACCCTGTTTAACCCACATTTCCACTGACTTGTTTTCTCCTGGTCCTTGTCGATCCACTGAGGTGACGTCACTGACACATCCTGGACCTTTTTTTCCTGAGGTTGAACCTCCGTAGCACCACAGAATTCCCTTCCTCTGTTTTAGCCCATGGAGACTTTCAGCTCCTTCTTAACCCAGTGTTCAGTGTTCTAGCTCCACTCCCCTGGGTTTATGTGGAACAAACATGTGGTCTGTGTTGGAAGAAGTAACCTTTTCACTGCTTTAATGTATGTGGGAAGTTCAGAGGGCTTCTGAACTCGGGCTTCTCTCTGTATCATTTATGTTTTTGGTTCGTTTTGCCTTTGTGAGGAGCATGAATCTGACATCGATGACAGAGTTTGTGAAAGTTTCTGGGAATGTAGTTTATAGTGAAAGGCCTGAATGTTCCACCAGTGGCCCACAGCCTCCACCCATCTCTAACCAACAGGAGTGCAAGAGTTAGCTGACCTAAAGAGAAAAATAAATATAAGAAGAGTAACTGCACGCTCTCAGATGTACTGCTTGAATTGGCTCCACATGCCAGAAAGGGAATAAAATGAAATGACAAGTTGCAAAAGAGTTAAAAAGATCAAAGATTGCCCAAAGGAAGAGACAAGAATAAATAAATGCTATGTTCAAAGGTCTTCCCCACAAAGATGAAACAAACGGTTCCAAAAGTATGGCTGAGGATAAGCTAAAGATTGGCCAAAATATACACTATAGAAATGATTTATAACTGAAGTGACTCTATCTGTCGGAGAAGATCTGTTCAGCTGTGTGTTTGTGATTCAGAGCGAGGAGATCACCAAAGAGGAGATTGACATGTTGAGTGACGCCTGCACCAAACTGAAGGAGCAGAAGAAGCTGCTGACCCTTGAAAAAGAGGAGTTGGAGGAGCTGAAGGACGATGTCCAGGAATACAGCGAGGTGCTTTGATTTGTTGTCTCTGCACAAGAAATGTGTGTGTGATTATTTCGTTTCATCAGGGTGTTTTATTGATGTTTTGACCATGTTTCTTTTTCTAGGATCTGGAAGAAATAAAGAAGGAGCTGTCCAAGAGTGGACAGGAGAAGACGTTGGAGGAGTCCAAGGCCAGTCAGCGTCTCTCTAAGAGGGTCAAACGGATGATTGGGCGCATGGACAAGATCATCCTGGAGCTGGAGAAGGACAAGACAATCCTCGATGGGCAGATAGACAGTGGAAGCACGCCCCCTGTTGGGTATGTGAGGAACATGATGTTACACTTTAATAGTGATTTAGTCAAATATGCCTGTATTTATCTTGTACTTTAACTTTAAATTCAAACTTTTTTTTCGTTTTATTTTTTTTATTTTTTTTTACATATTCATTGAATGTATCCTTATCCTTATCATCATCCCTTTCATTGTAAAATGGTGGTGGAGATAAACAAACAACAGGTTTTCCCAGAAAGTAAAATTATAAAGTCACCCAGATCAAACGCAGCCTCTAATCCAACTTCTGGATGACATGTTTCAGATTGTTCCTTACTAAACCTAGTGACGCTGCAAGGTAAGAGTTCAAGCCGTGGTAAACTCGCAGTTGTTTGCTCCCCCTGTACTAACATGATAACAGTAGTTCATCATTAGTGTCAGCTATCCTTTGATTTTACCCCCCCCCCATCATCACTGACTGGCATTAATAAAACTATTGTAGCCCAAACACTTGAATCATTAGACACCAGACAGACCTTCAGAACTAAAAACTAGAAGTGTGAAAACTGTAGTGTGTTCACCATGTGGAAAAACAGTGAAAATCCTTCTGACTTAGCTGAGATACATCAGCTCTGGTGTTATTACTCAGACTAAGTTTTCATTCATCTTTTAGCTTCATCACCAAGTGGCTCAAGGTATGATAAGCAGTATTAAACACGACAAGTAAGGATAGTGGAGTCTTACTTTTACCAGGGAAGTAAAGGCATCACTGTCCTAATATCCAGGCTGTGTTACTTTTTTTTGCGTGAAACAAAAATCTACCACAACAAGAGAGCAGTTCATTCTTAGTACAAACTAAAGCTTCGGTATGAACCGCTTCAAAATGTAAGACTTTTTAAGGAACACCACATGAAAGAAACCTGAAATTGGATTGTGTTGCATGGCATCATTTCAGCATGATTTCAAACACTGGACAATTTTTGTCTTTTGTGAAATTCACCCCAATTACTGCTCCCCCCTCCCAATCTTTAATCTGTTGTGAACCAACAAATGACTAAAATGTTGATTGGTGATCTGGGAACCTTGAATGAAGCACATTGATCTCTGACTTCTCCACCACATTTTACACCACTGCCAATTCTGGTAACTGTTTCCTGTATTCAGTCTGTTCTACACCTTCAGGGAGAACCTCATCAGCATCGACGAGCTCATTGGCATCATGAAGCAGATCCAGAATATTCCTGAACACAAGCTGCTCAGCATCGCCGAGGCCCTGGACGACAACAAGGATGGGAAGGTTGACATTGATGACGTCATCAAAGTGAGTTCACTGAGTTTCATGAACCTTGGTGTATTAAGACAAGGGCTGCACACAGAGTCCTGTGAAGAACGACAGCCTCACCTGAGTTTGGATGTTCTTCTTAGATTGGTTTAAAGAACAGGGCCATGCTCACAGTTGTTGATCACTAAGAACAGAGAAACATGGTTTTTAGTCCACAGCCATCACACTCTATATTTGAATATTCAAATATAAAAAAGAATTAATTCACCTCTCCTTTTATGTCAGGTAGTGGAACTGATCGATAAGGAGGACATCGACATTTCCACCTCCCAGGTGGCTGACATCATGGTGATGCTGCAGAAGGAGGAGAAGCTGGTGGGGAAGGAGAAGGCTAAAGAGAAGAAGCAGGAACAGGCAGCTACGCTCAACAGCTGAGTGATGTTTGAGACGGAGGTGGTGTAAAGACTGTGGACCATGAATGTAAAGAAGTGGAGGAGGAGAAGATTTGACAGGGTAAAAGTCTGAATTCCTGAAAGAAGGTCAGATCCTTGAATATAATTTAAAAATATTGTATTTAAAATGCACACATGGGGAAAAAAAAAAAACTAGCGCCATGATGTTGGCTGTTTTGGACTGATTATATTAATATTTGCCTTTGTGTAAATAAAGTGAACAGTTTATTATTGAGAGGGAACAGAGCATCAGAGGACTGAGGACATTTCTTTTCTTAACAGATCTCACATGTTATGTGAGAAAAATAAAGAAGTCAGTTTTTAATTTTGCACAGAAGCAGACTCACCATCATCGCTCCGCCCTCCATCCTCCGTCTGTCTGTCCCTCCACCACTCAGTCACTCGTTTGATAAGAATGGAACCTGATGAGATTGAAGATTGTTTACAGTTGATTATTACTGAAACATCAGTGGTGGCTGCAACTAAAGACTGCATCAGACATAACACAGACGAACGCAAATATACAAAGATGCAGAGCTACAAAGATACAAACTAATTTCCTTCAATAACAAGCAGCACTTTGTCAACATTATTAACAGGCCTGAATTTACTGACTTCAACATCAGTTAAATCTATTACTACATATTTCTTTATTTTGTACATCCATATATTCATCTCATGTTTGTGCAGCTCTTTGTTTGTTTTCAGATCTGTGTAAAAGACCAACACTGCTCTAAGACAAATCCAGTTAAGTGTTCAGTTATTTAAATTATTCAAAATTCTCCCAGAAAGGTAAAAATCACGCACACACACACACACATAAAGTGACAGTGTTTAAATTACATTTTAGGTTTGTATTCTAAGATTTGAAAAAAAAAAAAAAAAAAAAAAAACCTCAGAAACTCAGAAGACGTGTTTGTCTTCAGGCCTGTCACAGTCTCTCTTGTGTTGTCGACCTTCTTGTCTGCTGAAGAGCTGAGGTGTAAACACAGATGACAGAGTGGTTCTGGAGATAACCTGGAGTACACCAACATCCACCCTCCTTGCAGACCACCCTCCCCTTTGGTCTTAGTCTTCAGTCCTGGAGTCTTGGGTGATTAGCAACACATTCGTCTTCATCAGGTCATCAGTCTTTTTTTAGACTAGAACAGACCAAGCCAGACCAGGGTGGGAGTTGGTGTCGCCTGCATCTAGTCAGAGTCAGACTGATGGCTGCTGGGTAAACAGCGGGTCCATACAAGGACCAAAGTGGGCTCAGCAGGAGGGTTGTGTTTAGGTTAGAGTAGCTGCGGTCAGACGTGGCATGCTCTGGGCTGCATAAATCAGCCCAAAGTGTAAACATGTGGCAGGAGTTGTGTCAGTTTGTGGAGGACACTCAG